CTGACTTGTTTCGATCACATACTACGACCCACTCACGGAACTTGTCGGGGGGGGGTGCCATTTGGGAATTTTCGGACAGTTGCTCTATTGATACTGCATGGACGGAGTTTGCTGGCAAGTTCAGCGATCCGTTTAAATCGTCATCGATAAACAGGCTCATTCGTTCTACAAGAGCACCATTAAGCATTAGGAGCAGAACACGAAAACTCATGGCCTTAAGAGACGCAGCGTGGCATCTGTACAGGGCGAACCTTGACCCTGATAACTGGAGCTACTATTTAGTGCATAGTAATCAACGTACCACATTTGTACGTGAGGACAAATTAGTACACCAGCAGAGCCTAACAGAAAGGTTTTGCACTAACAACAAGTTCCTGTAAAGACATGCGAACAGCCTCAAGAATGTGAAGTGTGGTGTTACCCCACTTCTCTAAGCAAAGGGATGTGCTCAAACTGTCGAGGATGCAGCCATCGTTCTACGGCCGCAATATATTTCAGTAGTTCGACGCGCCACCAGCATAAGTCACGTATTTGTCAGATTCCCACAGCCGCCTATATCCACACATGTCGCTTTTAGTTCAAAGACCTTACTGGAGAAGCTGCACTCGTTACGCACCCATATTTCCGTCGGCGTGGATAACCCACCGATAGCACTTCAGGTGGCAGCTACGCGGATAGAGCCGTTAGCTCGATTTCTTCAAAGACGTATGGACGAACAGCAGGTTTCCAAGGTGTGGAAGCAGAGTACCATCACCACAATTTTCAAAAGCGGTAGCCGTTCGGAGCCCGTCAACTATCGCCTAGTGATTATCTTCCTGCTGCTCCCAAAGGTGATGGAGTCGATCATAGCTGAGGTTCTGACGGGGAACTTAGAAAGGTCTATCATAGCACAGGAACAACATGGATTCCGTCAGCATCCGTCATGTACTACAAATCTTCTGATTGCACGTGGCAGTTAGACCGAGATGGCCGACATAGGGACCAGCACTAATGTCATCTACCTAACTTTTCTAAAGCCTTCGACTGCACAGATCCCCGAATACAGAAACTACATACGGGCGGAATCGGGGACCAAGTGTTTGGATCGATCGAAAACTTCCTCCTTCAGCGGCAGCTTCAAGGTAGGCGTTCATTTGCGGGTCCTATTTACGTGGGCTGCGGTGTCTCACAGGGAACAGTGTTGGGACCGCGCCTGTTCCTGCACTTTATCAAGGACCTTGCGTGCATCAATGAGTGAAATTTCCTTCTGCTTGCTGATGAAATCAAGATATAACGGGCGATCGGTTGTCAAGACGTGCTACAGACTTAGACCGTGCCGCTGAATGGACAAAGACAAACCTACTTCCGTGTAACGCGGACGAGTGCGAGACTGTACATGTACGCCACAAACCCACTTTTGCATACAGGCTTGGAGACCACATGCTGAAAACCGCCTCACAGGAACGCGATTTTGGGGTGATGATGCAAGACGACTTCGGCTGTTCGGCGCAGTCGTTTGAAGCGTCAAAAACCGCTAACCAAAACGTTGATCTCTTACGGAGGATATACGGCCTCACCATCTTCCGCCAAATGCCCATGTGGAGTAGGCACTCCCGGCCTGAGAACGCTGGTTAAAACGAGATCTGGTTATACTGGATACCGCACAGCGAAGGGCAACAAAAATGTGAAGGGAGTGCTCCACCTGCCATAACACCTGCGACTGAAAATTTAGAATTGTAAAGCGGAAGTTATGGCCATCTACGGGGCGACCTCACTCCGGTGAATCAGATCTTGTAAAACCCCGGTCACGCTTGCCGCCACTTCCAGAAACAACCGCAGTACAGAATTGAGGGGTCCGAAGCTGAAACTAGCTACGCAATACCGTCAGCTGGTATGCCACCGGAACTATGTTTCTCTTCGAACGTGTCACGCCTGGACGGCTCTTTCGACTTTCGCCATTTCATCGCCCACGCCATCCGTTCTTAGAAAACGACTCGACGATTTGACGTATGTTCATTTAGTGGATACGATTCATCGGTACCAGTAGAAAAATGAACACTTGTCAAATCCATATTGAGATGGAGCCACTACCACAAGTTACTATTGCTCAGCAGAGAAGAGGCTTAAAAGACAGGAGATTAAGATAATTGAACAAACAAACGGTGTTTGTTATCGTGAACTTCGATATCAACCCCATCTTACTGGCCTTATTGATGCTTTGATACATGAAATGCGCCTTATCATACGTGATTGGTAGTTGCCATGTGGCACAAGCGGTTAGTACTGGAGTACGATCATTCACCCACAAACACAGGCAATAAAGGAACCAAGCTATTCCGCACGACGCTGGAACACTAGCTTCTATCTGTGAAGATGAGTTGGTAACCCGCCGTTATATGTAAGAAGTTATGGAACATACACACGACATATCCGAATTGTCGGCTGATTGCGACGAACAAAAATACACACAAACTGCCGACGCCAAGGCAACCAGTTTACTGGGACAGTGTGCATAAAAGAACACTATGAGCAGTTTGATGCTTGGAAAAACTCTTTACGTTGGAGTTCGGATGTTGTGGTGTTTCGGCAGACCATCAAGCTCCGTGAGAAACGCCGCCCATAGCGACACGGAAGTCAAACTTTAGTTTGCAGTGCACATTGTGAGCTTGGATTACAACACACGACCTCAGTTTGGAAATGTACATTGAAGAAGATTACAGCTATTCGGACCACCAAGGTCGCAACTCCAGTAAGCAAGCATGGATTGAAGTCGCAGTGAGTTACAGCGGTTGCAGTTCTTGTAACTATGCTACAACCATCACATGTCTTCGATGCTGAGAACAAACAACAATCTCACAGTGGCATTCTTTTACCAAACTAATTCAGACGTTCAGATGTACGAGGGTCATTCAATAAATAAGGTGAATTTTTCGGTATAAGGATTTCTAATACAGATAGAAGTTTATTTTTTGTTTTTTTTTTACTGCTTATTCACACGGATGTAATTTCTTTTGCAGATTGAAAAAAAACTGTGAGAGTTTTAGCGATTAACAAAGATGGCCGACCAAGAAGCATGCTCCAGGATTGAACAGCGGCCAGTTATCAAGTTTTTGGTTGCTGAAGAGTGCAAACCAGTTGAAATTCATAGGAGAATGTCAACTGTGTATGGTGCCACATGTTTCAGCCGAAAAATGCCTACAAGTGGGCAAAATTCTTTAAAGAAGGACGGAGTAGCGTTGAGGATGAAGACAGGCCTGGGAGGCCTACAGAAGTGATGTCTCCTGAGGTGATCGATTCAGTCAATGACCTCATTCAGTCGGACAGAAGGGTGACAGTGGATGACATTGCAAGGACTTTGAGCTTATGCGTTGGGGTGGCACACAAAATTGTCCATGTCATCCACTGTCATCCTTCTGTCCGACTGAATGAGGTCCTTAACTGATTCGATCACCTCAGGAGAAATCATTTCTGTAGGCCTCCCAGGCCTGTCTTCATCCTTAACACTGTTCCGTCCTTCTTTAAACAATTTTGCCCACTTGTAGACATTTTTCGGCTGAAACATGTGGCATCATTCACAGTTGACATTCTCCTACGATTTTCAACTGGTTTGCACCCTTCAGCAATCAAAAACTTGATAACTGACCGCTGTTCAATCCTGGAGCATGCTTTTTGGTCGGCCATCTTTGTTAATCGCTACAACTCTCACAGTTCTTTTTTCAGTCTGCAAAAGAAATTACATCCATGTGAAAAAAGAAGTAAAACGACAAAAATAAACAAAAAGTAAGCTTCTATCTGTATTAGAAGTCCTTATACCGAAAAATTCACCTTATTTATTGAATGGTCCTCGTAGTTGTGAATTGTTCCTTGATCGATAAATACACTGCTCTGCCTCTTATGTTCCTGAGATAACAACCAGGATATCAGCCGTCTCACAGGAAGTCTCCCTCGCCGCCTCACAGTATCACTAATCCACTGCAGATGTTCGAATGCTAGGTACACAAGGGAGTGTGTACTCTCAGTACAAGGGTCGTCAATATAGGGAATGTCGGCATTTAGATCAGTGTGACAACGGACGGTTAAGCCGAGTGGTACGCTGGAATGAGCAGTTTCCCACAATAAATTGAGCTTACTGAGAACTCATTAATCCGATGCAAGTGTAAATAATGTGCGTACCCTTAAGTAGTCATTCAGCGCATCATCTATCCTTTCCTGTTTGAGTTCTTGGAAAGTGATGAGGATTGGGTCAGTCAGATAGTCCGCAAATGAGAATTTCAAAATGCGAAAATGAGGAAAGGAATGCATTTTACCATAGAAAGAAGTGCATGCTTCAGTGGCCTGGAATATGCCAGTTTACATCAAAACGTTTTGGAACGAATGCGTCAGTTCGCAAGGTGAATAAAAAACTGAACAGATGATCAAATATCTGACTCCCTTCAAGCAAAAGCACGAAAAATTTGTACACATTCATCTGGCAAAGCTTCTCGCGAAGTCGAGAAATATACCAATGACTCGGTCGAAGTAAGATGCACTCAATGCGGTTGTGCAATACGTCACTCGCCATTAGATCGCGTATGCCAAAACAGTTTGGTGGATTTTGGAGAAAGCTCAATGCGTCGAGTTAGTAGGGTAATCGCTACACATCCACAAAATACGCCCGACAGTCGTCCCGTCCTATTGAGAGTCTACATCCGCATTTCACCGGAATCCAGTTGAATTCGAATCCGTGAATTTACTCTTACGAGTTACAGACCTAAACCAATGAGTTATTGGGGACGGTGGTAAACCTTCATTATTGATAACTAGCTGTGAAGTAGGGTGCCTCAGACACAAGTGGCATATATGTTATAAACTCGCAGGGATCAGAGCTGCTTCCCTGAGGCACGACTTCCCTAACTAAGTCGCCAATTGCCTCAGGGTATCACAACCTAATACAGATGATTACCGATCGATGTTTTTTGCAACCTGTTGTTAATCTAACTTACGCTAAAATGTGACTTGTCTGAGGATGGGAAAGCGAAGGTAAGTCCATCAACCAGGCGAGTGCATGTGAAGAGCACTACCAACGACGACCATGATAACCAGCAAACGAAGGAATGAATCAAGGAAACACAATCATGAGCCGAATGCAAAAACATTGGGAATGCGGTGGAGCGCCAGCGTCAACACGGCTTTATGACAGACGTGTACGAATTAGAATAGACAAAATGGGGAACTGTTTGAAAACATTCCAGTTTGTGGGTAGCGGATGGGCAAGATCTGTGGGCTCTAGGATGTGAGGTGTTCTCTTTACAGGGTAGTCTGATGGTCACGAATGACAACAGGGCGAAGACGATGAGGACATATCACCGGAACAGGCTGGAGAATGACGTCAACGCATGGATGATGCCGGAGGTTCTTGATGAGCTGAGAAGAAAAAATATGCGGTTAGCGGCGATTTTACTTGACCAATGTGACTGACAAAGAGTGCAGCGACACAAGGAGGGGGGCGATACAAGCGCGCCAAATTAAATGAAAACCACGGTAGCTGGTTGAATAGTTCGGGCGAGGGGATCTGCGAATATCGACTGAAATACTTTTTATCTTGGTGGGGAAGCGAATGTGTTGTGGAATAAAACTGAGGTTGTTCCGAAAGAATGGAAACGAACCGGTAATACGAGTGTGTTTAAATGATGAGAAATTGTATGACAATTTGATCTTCAAGCAAGGCAAAAGCTGGCGAGTTGCAATCAACACGCTCGGTAACGCTGCGGCGGATAGAAGACGAACAATTATGGTGGTTTGGTACGGTGCAGCCAAGAGAGAATAATTAACGCAAATAGCTGATAGGACCATCAAGGAACACCTGACTCAGCATCATCAACAGCATTACATCCGCCATTTGAACTGGTGTTGCGCTGCTGTACCAGCACAACAACTTACGGAACAAAGATCAATAAGAGAGAGAAGTGGGACGCACTGGAAAACCTTAATACTCTAAGCAAAGATCCAGGTCAAGGAGCTAACACCTTATCAACAATATACCGTCACAAACAGCTGGCTATCATGCAAAGATAAGGCGGAGTCAGCGAGATAGCTTCCTTGTGGCTTTCAGTGTCCCACGTCACAATCAGCCAGTACCGCGCAGATAACTCGGCACCATACACACTTTAAACAGGCAATCCAACTAGGAGACGGCAGTAGACACGCCACTGGTGTCGACTGCGAGCCATGTCCTGTAAACTCTCAAGCCAAGCACAAGGCGAGTCACGTGGACTCCATACCGGAGGGCAAGAGGGACTGACGGCGCCCAGTTTGGTCGTCAGTGACTTCATTCCCCACTGCCAAGTCTACTTCTGTCCACCTCGAGCCTTGCCCCACCCTACATCTGGCAAATAAAACGAGGCCCTACTCGGTAAGTTGTGCCCGGGCATAGGTAATACGTGCCCAAGAAAACGCAACTTATTCAGTGCTATCTGTTCTACGGAACTAGCTTGGTTACCACTGTCTAGTACTCGCTTACGCACATCATCGTTGCGGACACGCTGGCGCCATCCGACATGAACAATGCTTCGTAGACAGCGATGGTCAGAGACTTATGGCACCTCAGGTCATCAAATCGGAGGGAACAAGTCTCGCTTCCGCAGAGTAGGACGGCCCCATTGTGGCCTTGTATACACCGCTTTTTAAACGGAGGGAAACCCCTTTCTAAAGCCACGGATGTCGCAGATGCAAAAAGACAGTTTTAGCTTTTGCATGGAGTGAAATGAGTTCAGTTGCTATGCGCCCATCGTTGCTGATACAGCTCTCAAGGTAGGTGAAGTGATCAACTACCTCGAAGTCCTCGCCATTAAGGGCCAAGGCGTCATCAAGTGGCCGGTGGTCCTGTAACAGAAGACCTGACTCTAAGATCATGAACCTAGAACAGTGACATGAAGAAAAGAGACTACATTCGAACATTACACAGTGCGAGTGCGTTGAGAACAATGTACCATTTCCCAGTCAATTGCATCCATAGTGCCGTCAAATTCTTCCTTAAGGGAATCATGTTCCTCATAGATCTCTCAAGATAGTTCATAACGCCATCAGGTTGCATACAATAGGGGCAAAGGCTTCTAAAAACATGTACTAATCGTTGAATGACCGATTCTAAATCAGCCCATAGTACAACAGTTCACTGCACGGAGTGGGTGCTACCGGCTATTTCGGGACTTGTCCCTCAATGAACCGTAGCTTTTATGAGTTCGCGTCCGTTGGAAGCAAGTTGGTGGTGTTAAGGGCCATGTTAAGAGGTCTATGGAGGGGGGGGGTATGATTTCCTAAGGGAGGAAGCTGAAAGCGTTATGGATGCAATCGACTGAGGAAAGGTAGAGAATCCGTGGGATAAGTGAATATAGATGTATAGCAAATACGGAACGCATAAGTTTCAGGAAGAATAAGCTGTCAAAACGTATCTTCTCATGTGACCGAATTTCGTTCAGAGACCCCCTGCAGCCCGCATTGTTGATAATATTAAGAGTGGAGAGTTGGGCATATGAGAACAAGGATAGTCAGTGATGCAACTCAGTGCGCAGTAACTAAAATGCAAGGGTGTCCAAAACAGGGAATTAAGTCCGCGTTAATAACGAACACAGACAAAAGGTGTGTGTGTGTGTGAAATTCTGTGCTTGCGCGCTGGTTCACGTTAGAAGAAAGTCGTATGCTTTATCATGGGTAGGAGATGCAGCACGAATTTGTGTACATCTCCACAGAAAGTAATAACAGCACAGTTGAACAGTTATGAAACGGAAGCTGACTATGACCGAACAAATTGCTCTAACTAGAAACGCTACGGTGGTAGGTGTCGAGACTGGTGTAGAGGAAAGAAAGAAAAATGTCAATAGAAACACGATGCAAACTTGGCCAGAAAAGACAGAGAAGTGGTAATAGTCGGAGTGGAAGGTTAGCAGCCAGCTTCAAGAAACCGGATGCATTTGTGATTTCGTTGCTGCATAAAGTCAGATATAGTCGAAATAGGGGACGTTGACACCTTTTTTGTGCCGATATTGCAGTTCGCTTCTGTGGGCGCATGCGACGACGCTGTGAGCGTATAGATATTTGCCAACTGGTAAAACCAGATGTTCTGAATGTGTATCAAAGTACGCCCGCATCCGACCTGAGTAAGCACTCCCTGAACACAGTGGAGCGCCATGATCGTACACGCACCAGACGTTACCAGCAGCAGGCATGTCTTCATGTGGCAAATTAAGTTGTCAGGCTGGACGTTGGGTCCCTACGCCGTCTCTGGAATTTATGGATGCTCGCCGACGTGCTCCGGCTGGAAGTGAATACAATGAGACTCGCGAAAATCTCAGAGCGAAACTGTGTGCTAACCTGAGGAGAACGCCAAGCGTGGTGACCTCATTGTGCATCGGAGATGGAGACAGCCACTGGCCTTGGTAACCATCGGAAGTTATTCCGTCTGATCCCAGAAACGGGCAGCTAGAGACAAGGTGTTGGCGAGACTCATACACGACGAAAATGGACAACCGATCCACAGCTTGTCAAAACGCTTGGAGGGTTGGGCCGAACACTTTGTAATGTAATTTAATCAATTAGAGTTGCCAGCTGCTACGTCGGCAAATGATCATCCTTCTCCCTGGGCAGTCCCACTGGACATGCCCTCATGCGCAGATGTCGAACGTGAGATCAAACCGCTGCAAATGAATAAGGCTGCCAGAGCAAACAGACCTCCAGCTCTCTTCAAATTCGCGGGACCTGCTCTTGCATATGATCTGGACAACTTACATATGAGGCTGTGGGAGAAGAAAACTGTCTCAACAGATTGGAGCCGTTTTGTTTTAGTCCCCATTTTCAAGAGGCTCACGTTCAAAGTGTGGCAGTCATAAGGGGATCAGTGTGATCTATACTGTCTCTAAGATATTCAACTCTGTTGTTCTTCATAGACTTGCTGATACCCATCAAAGCTACATTCGTGAGGAAGAAACCGAGTTTCATCGAAGTCGCGGCTGTATTAACTACATCTTCACATTACATCAACTGTTGAAGCACCGTCATATTTTTCGGCGAGCTCTTTGGGACTAGCAAACCAGGAAAAGTATGCCCGAGAAATACTTAAACATTATCAGTGCGGTTTTAAAACAACCGGTTGGTATAGTTTGTGGGCAACCTTTCACTTTTGACACAAAAGCTTCTTCAGGGAAGATAATCGCGACCAATGGGATGTAGGTCAAAGAGTCACTCCAAGTAGTGCATACAGCGATTACGATTGTCCGCGTTACAAAGTCACATCCGTGAGCATCGCCCCGGATCCATCCGCCAACGCTCTGTAGACTGGTCAGGTTAAAACAGTTGTTTTTGTTGAGGCTGCAACCCTTGCAGGCTGTTGGAAGAGAAGCTTTGAAGACTTACGGGTGGACTGCACGGTTGCCTTCCTTGCTCGCTTGCCTATCTGGCCACACGTGATACAGTATGCATAGTGTAATCGTGCCACTGCGAGCAATCTGGGGAACCGATAGGTGTGCGATTTCGTTTAGGAAATGCAAGTGATTGTTAAGACCGTGTGAGGTAATCAGAAACAATACAGTACTTCGTATGAAGGAGGTAAATCTAGGACTTGTTCGCAAATAGAAATTTTAAAGCCTTTACAGCTACAAATTTCTCGTACTGTGTTATTTCAGTTGGCCGTACACTCATGTGAATAGTGTAGCTACGTAATGCTGATGTAGTCGGCGAATTGTATACTAAGGTCAGGTTCCATGGGTAGATAAGAACATCAGTGGATCTGTAGCCATTGTTCTAACTAGCAAGGCTCCCAGTGTGGCGGTGACACGACGTTAGTGAGTGTTCATTCGTCTCCACACCTGTGGGCCACTTCGGTAATCAGTTACCGCTTCAGGACCCATGGATCTGCCGTTATGTTAAGGTCGTAAGATGCATATCGATCCTGCGTTTCAACATGATATTCACGCTTCACTTCCATGTGATTGATGAGCTTGAACTAAAAAGTGACCCTACGGTCCTGATATGACTCGGCAACAAGCACTGCATACGCGTTGTAAGCATAGGATTTGAAGCAATTTTCCTCCTTCAACAATGTCTCCGGAATTACCTACTTTCCAATGACAAAATGTTTCCCAGTAGTTGCCAAGCCGCTAACAACCTGTGTCACGGCGTGCACACATGAATGCTTCTAAGACCTGCTGAAACAGTGGTCCATAGCAGGATTAGTGGACGCGGTTGCCTTTGTAAATGATTGTAAACACATTGTAGGAACGCCCGTGGGTGAGACAACAGTGTTTGTCTGTTCCAAGTACTCAACTGAATTACTAGAGTAAAATGCGTGCGTCGCCACTAATTATCAGTCCGCATATATGCTAATTTTTTCACCGGATTAAATGCTACTTTGGAAGACCATTGTCATCCAG